GTTTGTATGACCTATTTAGTAAATTTGTAATTTAAGGTCAATTTTGTATAAACGACGATTTAAATTTTCAACCTACCGGTGTTTCAAGATTTATACTAGAATTTTCAGCCTGTTTCATTTGGAGCACAATTTAAAACCGTGTTAATTTGGTCGTAGAAAAAATATTATTTAGTTGTTTGTGCAACTAGTGATTCAAGTGAGCAATTGCCTCACACGAGAGAAATCCTTACTCACGAGCCGTAGTCGAGTGAGGAATGGTTTCTCGAGTGAGGCGATTGCACTTTGCACTCGAGTTGCACATTATATTTTTCCTACAGTTACCATAAAACAAACAAATTGGTAACGAAACGTGCCTTCACGTTGCAAATCTGGAGTGAGACAATGTTAACATTGTCTCACTTATGAGCGAATTGGCCACTTTCGTTCCTTCACGTTGCAAATCTGGAGTGAGACAAAGTAATTAGAGACTGATGAGTGAATTGGCCACTTTGCTTTCTCAAATCAGTGAGAGAACGTGTATTTTGTTAGGTAACTGTAGGAAAAATAAATATACAATTTTGTTTTTAAGATTGAATAGTAGCCTAGTATGTTTTGAAATATAAAATAATGTGCGTAGCAAATCAGGGATTGAGAATGTTGGCCTAAAGATTTTGGAAATGGCTATTCTAGTTTTAAACGTTTGTTTGAGGATCTTTTCTCTGTTGGTCAAATAAATATTCAGCTAAACCCAGACCTTTGTGGATGGTTTTAAAGTAGTCAATTGAATATCATTGTAGTAAAATCGTCTAATATTTGGCCGGTGAGTTTTAAAAATGTTGCAATTTGGTAGAGGGAATCGCTCTTTAGACAGTTATCTTTTGGGAAGAGGCATATCTTTATTACTTCATAATTTTACTTCAGGTGGGATCCGAACCGTTAAGTCGTCATGGTTTGACATCACAGGGTTTGGCTCCAAGCTTCTGGAAACCCCAAAAATTAACAAATATATCAACCAAACCCTACTACTACAAGTACTAGACGAGTACCAATTTACCATCAAGGCCCTAGATAGAGACTTTAAACTACTACCGTTTCATTTTAAACTAAAGCAATTAAATAACACCACCACCTCTGTATGACAACAAAACGCTTGTGGTTTAAAACGTTGACGAGAAGTTTTCATTGTTTTCGTCCCTGATACAAAAGTTAACAAACATGATGACGCAAAGCCAAAGTAACTTTGGCACAAAGGATAGCTTGTCTCCATCGTGCCTGAGCATGTTCTGAACCAACAGATAAACTACTAAAACATTTCCGACTAATTCTCTCTTTTCGCGATAATTCCGACCACCGAAATGAGCATTAAATCTCGTTTCCAGTTCGGTAAATATTCCGGCAACGTCACATTTACTTCTTGTTTACTCTATTTCAATGTATTTTGGCTTAGAATTTAAATACCTTATTCGAAAAATATAATGATTAGAAATAGTGTTCTAATGTGGTAAAAATTAATGTTGAAATTTCCGAATTTAGACTAACGATTAAAAATAAAACTCTTGGCTGTCTTGGGCTAGACAGACTTTACCATTGGAAATTTCTCCACACCAGAGGTGTGCGACAATATTCATTTCCAATTGCATTAAATACTTCGAAATACTCAAAAGTAATTCGTTACATCTTCAATCCGAAAGATCTAAAACGTTAGGGTCGAATATGTCTTGAAATTATATTGAATCAAAATACTACGTTTAAAAAAAAAACGCTGTATGGAACGTAGAATGGTTCTAGTTAACAATAATTAGCAAAAGTGTAACTTTTTAATATTCTGTAAGTGTATTATTTAGTTTAAAAAAGTATCACCTAATGATCTATAGGTATTTCAACACCATGTCAAAATCAGAGATAGTCTTTGTATAACATTCCAAGTTGAAATTGGTCATAATTTTCAAACCCCCGAGTTAGTTATTACATACTATAGGTTGTTCTACCCTAATTTGTGATTTGGGAGATTTTATCTTATGACTAGGGTTCGACGTAACTCTCAATCTCTAACTACAACACTTAACTTGGTCTTGTCAACTTTAACTTGGTAATCAAACTTATCTAGTCAACTTTATGTCGCTCGTAAGACTAATTGTTTAATGAATGGCTTGAAACTCTAATTGGTATGTTTCGTAAGACTAAGACCCAACTGGCTAATAACCAACCTTCGTCTTGGTTAAAAGCTCTTCTTCACGCCTACGTCAACTTCTGCGTAACTTGCTTCGAGTATTTACTTCGACTAAGAACCTAATGAGCTTAAATGTAAGTCCTAACGTCTTGGTTTTCAATTATTAAATTAATCGATAAAATTTACCTTTAGTCTAAACATTGTTTGAATATTTTTAGTAATGATTATATACAAACTCTTTATATCATTCAAAAAGTCTTTTTCTGTAGAAAGTCTACCAGTCTACGATAGTTGTACGTTTTATTTGTCAATTTGTCACAATATATCCTTACACATTTATACATCGTAGTTTATACAACACGCTCCTATTTGTAGTCAAATCGGAGATTTTGTCTGACGTTTGAAGTTGCTTACGCTCACTTTGGATATGAAGCTTTATTTTATTAAAAGTTTATTTTTTCTATAATAGCAACCACTAACACATTCAAAATACGAGATAGAATTGACCAAAAGCATTAAAAAGGAGTGCCTCTAAACCTCTTTAATGGAGGTAAAAATTAAATAGTTTATGGTAGTTGCTATAAAATTAATCATAGATAAGCAAATGCTTCAGAAACCTTAATATTTCCCAATTTTTAATTGCAATATCATCGTATACGTTGTATTTCCATTTTCCTTTTGAAATCACTGAGAATCGTTTCAATCAGTCATATCAGTGAATATATGTTTACAATGTCAATAAATTTTAGAACTTACTAAGAACAACCGGTTAAAGTAGTTCGGAATTTTTTGTGTATGATATTTTCATAACATTGGAACTTTGAAGATACTTAAAAAAACTTCTTATTCTTTTAACTTCTACATACTTTTTCGTACTGCAGCAGAAACAGCTGTTCCAGTACATGCGTTGCGAGTCCAAAGTAAATATTGAAAACAATAAGGAAGCAACTTTTGGAGCTCTTCTTTTCATGAAAAATATTTTCGTTTTGTAACTTAGTTTGGAATCGTTGCAATAGTAAGGCAAATATAGTTAACACGGGCTAAAAGTGTCTTTTCAACACTCGCTACGCACTTAAACTTAAACTTAAACTTAAGCTCGTGTGATGAAAAAGAGTCACTTTACGCCCTAGTGATGAAATATACTGTCTCTAAAGTTGTGATTTGTTTGTAACTTTTATCAATGTATTCAAAATATTGTGAGAAAATGTAGGCCTGAGTTCTACCATAGACAAAAAGAATTAAATAAAAGACCGCCAGCCGTGCTGCGGTTAACATAGGTTCTGGCGCACACCGCTGGGAGCGCCGTGTAGTTATAGCGTACGCGCAACATAACTACACGACACTCCCAGTGGTGGGCGCCAGAACCTATGGTAAACATGGTAACCGCAGCACGGCTGGCAGTCTATATTTAATTATTTTTGTCTATGTTTCTACTTAGGAAAATACCCGTATTTTTTCACTACTATAGGGGGTGGTTCACCTCACTATTTTAAAACTACTGGTATAAGAAAAATATTAAAAATACTTCCGGTTTAGTTTCAAGTTTCATTATTAAAATAAATTTAACACGCTTGATCAACCGTATACACTTTCCTTTATCCACACTGTGTGAGTAGCAACTGTGGACGAGGATGGCAGCTGATGCAAATGTAATTCAGGAAGAGGAAATCCATCCGTTCCACCTGCTTCCCTCGGCCGTTAGCGCATCCCGCTATGCATACATTGCGGATTGCGTCAATAAATATTTATCTGACGAAAAAGTTACACTTAACCATAGTGAAATTTTTTTAAATAAACAATAATTGTGTTTATATTGCTGGAGAAAAAGTTTTTTTTAATTTATGAGTAGCGCACTAAAGTAGCTCTTTCTCTTCCTAGGGCAAAAAAGAATCAAAGTTGAGTGTGTCAGTTGTACAATTTATCACTTTGGAACTATTAGTTTTTTTGATTTTTTTCGGAGAAATTCGTTTAGATTACTATAGTTTCATCCCCAGGGCATATAACTCGAAATGAGCTCAAGTTGTGACATAAACGAGTGTCGAAAATATACTTTTCACCCTTGTGATGAACGATATTTTTTGTTATACGTCATCATTAAGATAACTTAATCACAAAATAATTATTTCGTTCGATGCTTAAATTTCCTTGTGAGATTATATTACATTTTATTTAGTTTTGATTTCTTTAAATCATTGTAAAATGTAACTCTCTTGTATAAAAAATGCTAGTACTTTTATTTAATTCACATCTATAATATTTCCTCTGATTCTGTGGTGATTTTCCTTGGCTTGTGGTTGTGAGAAACTCTGTTTAGGCCTGCAGGTACAAAGGCCTCCCTCAGAATATTAGAAGCGTCATTTAACTCCTTTATCATTACAGTATCAATTGAGATGGGCACGCCACTTACATACTTATTTTTTTAACCCGAATATGAGTGTAGAATGAAGAGTAATGATCCGGGTAGCTTTGTTCCTTTCTAAGATCAGCTGTTTCATTAGCCAGGATCATTTGAAGCAATGATTAGGAACAGCTGGGTCCAGTTTCGAACCGTCAGGACACAATGAAAAACACAACAGTGTAGTGGCATGAATTGACTCGTAGATCGCTGCCAGACGTTTTGGGTTTCTGTGAAGAAGCACCCTTTATGGCTAGGCTAGAAGATAACGCAATTTTCGCCGAAAACCACCATGGATTCTTATTTCACCGGCCGCGAAAATGCGCGTATGAAGTAAAACGATAGATGTGATTTGCAACTGTGCTTACTTTAAGATTACACTTATTTAGTTAGTTTTCTCATATCTGTAACATTCACCCTTCTCCTCTGGGGCTTTTCCTTGACCACCTACTCCAGACTGGGACGGCCTGGTGTGGACTCGCACGTCCGCCACGAGACGGACGCTGCGGTTGTCCAGATCGTGTTCCTGATGAACGAAGGAGCCTTGGTCACCGCCACGGCCGATGACAGTCTTCACCTTTGGAACTTCCGCCAGAAACGGCCCGAGGTCGTTCACTCACTCAAGTTCCAAAGGGAAAGGTAAGTTCCTCTTGAATCTAGCCTAAGGATTATTGCAAAATTGAAAGTACAAATCAAATCAAATCAAATCAAATCAAATTATCCTTTATTCATTTAGTATACAATATACATAAATAGCGTCAATACAATAATCGAGATAAAACAAATATCTTAAAACTAATGTACAAGAGTCAGTGGAAAAAATCTTTTACCTTATAACAGCATTTACTACATAAAAACCTAAATAACTGTTTCTTAAACGACTTAAGGGAAGCTACAGATTTAATCGAATCAGGCAGGTTATTGTAAAACTTAACACCAGAGTAGTGGGGAGAAGATTCTAAAGTTGAGGATTTATGTTTAGGGTATAAAAGGCAGCTTTTGTGTCGGGTATTATAATTATGATTGTCCGAATTAACAGAAAATTTAGAAATATTTTGTTTCATAAAAAATAATAAATTGTAGATATACAGACTGGGAAAAGTAAGGATATTATTGTTTTTAAATGTATTTTTACAAGAACCCCTAGCTTTGATAGAATAAATTGTTCTAATTATTCTTTTTTGCAATTTAAAAACTTTTTTATTTTTGTCGGAATTTCCCCAAAAAATAATTCCGTAATTGAGAATAGGATAAACATAGCCATAGTATACCATCATAAGAGTAGAAATATCAACTGATCTAGAAAGAATGAGAGTTACAAAATATGCTTTATTTAACTTTTTGATGACGTCTGTTATGTGAGTTTTCCAGGTTAATTTATGATCTACTGTTATTCCTAAAAATTTGGTGGAGTTGGCAAGGTTGCAAGATAGAGTGGTGTTTTCGTGAGAAAAATTGTTATTAAAATAATTTTTTTTAAAGTTCATTAAAAGAGACTTGGATTGATTTAGTAAAAGTCCATTAGCTTGAAACCAACTTTCCAGCTTTTGGAATTCTTGTTTGATAAGCTGTGGAAACATTGATTTATCTGGATGGGTGAAGATAGCAGAAGTATCGTCAGCAAACATAACCAATTTAGAATTTAAGGTCATGGGCAAGTCATTGACATAAACCAGGAAGAGTAAGGGTCCAAGAATGGACCCTTGAGGTACACCATCTGTGATTAATCTATAATCAGATTTAATTCCCAGTGACTGCAAATTTATACACTGTTTTCTGTTGGATAGAAATGAAACCAACCATTTACTGGTCCTGCCCGATATACCATAAAACTGCAACTTCCGAATCAGTATATTATGGTTTACACAGTCGAACGCCCTTGACAGGTCACAGAAGAGACCAGATACATTCTGCGACCTGTCAAGAGCATCCGCAACCTCAGATACAAAACTAAATATGGCATCTACAGTGCTTTTACCCCTTCTAAACCCATACTGATTCATGTTGAAGAGTTGACATTTATCAAGGTAATCATACAGCCTATTAAAAACTATCTTTTCAAAAAAACGCCAACATTCACTAGTCCAACTTAAAAACCAAGGCTTCCGTGGTCACTTACACCACAAACTTGGGTTCCTGTTGACCGAGTCATAGGGAGAACTTATAACTAAGTGTTGTCGTTTATTAGTCATTCCGTATTATGTCACTGCTTCAAAAATAATGCAAGGGTGAGGCAATTTTCTAAAAGACTGCATGGCCACGCACTGTTAAGAAAGGCAATGTTCGGAAAATTAGTTTCGGAATTATTCCTTTCGGAGTTGTGTATTGGAGCGGTATCAGCTGACTGTGACGAGGCCGTAAAATCACTTGGTTATGAGTTTCTACCTGTTACGCAGTCGTTCTCAAAATACCAAATGTCATGATCTGTTTGACTTGCTTAATGGGGTGTCTGCTTAACATTAACTAATTATCAAATATTTCTTTGTAGAGGGATAACTTCAATAAGGGTGCAGTTCTCTTTGAGAGATATGTCCATTTTTACTTGATTAGTGGGCCTACAGCTTAGACGAAGGTAGACTGAAAACCAACAAGTAGAGCAATGTAAAGTGCTATTTGCCTTTAAGTTGAGTGGTTTAAGTGCAGGCCTTTCACTCTGTTAGACAAAGGCTTGTTCAATCCTAAACAGTGTTTATTTTAGACCTAGATACCTTGGCATTGGATAACAATCAATGATGCGACCCAACAAGAAGTAGATATTTGATAGGAGTAAGTAGGGTATGGACCACCCCATCGCAAATAGGTTCAAGTGGCTTTTAAGAATAATGAAACTGGTATAACGAATCGAATTGTTGATTTATCAACACCAGGTGAATTGCATGGATTAATAAAATAGATATTTTTTACAACATATAACCCAATTCACACAAATGTTATTCATTTATTTACCCCAAACTGTTAAAAAAAATACGGGTTAACTTTGTTTCTATTGATTTATTTTAGTAATTTTGTTATGTAAACATATTGTTCGGAAGTAGTATTTTTTTCTACAACAGTGAAGGAAATTTAATATTTTTCTGACGATTATGGTGTTTGTTTGCGACCCGCATTTTTATATTGTAAAAGCTTATATTGTTTGAAAATATAAAAAAATCATTTTAAAATTGTTTGTATAAGTTTCTTGTTTGTATTCTATGCGTTTCTATTTCATTTGATTTTAGTGCTCTAGACAAGTAGCCCGCTAAAAATTACAGAGCAACAAAAAATTCAAAGCAGAAAAAAATTGTTTTGATTCAGTAACGTCGAGATGAATTGATGAAAGGAAGTTGCTTACTTTACATCTCTCCTGGGAAAGGCTGAAACTAAAAATAAATTATTCCCGGCATTTTCTAACCTTTTTTAAACGCCTTGAATTTACTTCATCTAGACAAGCAAGGTTTGGAACGATGTAATATAAGGAAAGGGAAATTGAGTTGGGAGGTTTCTTTATGAAGGAAGACAATGTTTTATACGTTTAATCCTCCAGTTAATCTCTTATTGTATTATGATGAAAACTCCTTGATGCCTCTGGCTATAAGGATTTTTTGTATTCTATTCTAGTTTAATTTTTCTTTTAATTTAAAGATTTTGTTAGGATCACGAGAAACAAAATTTATTTTAAATTAGTTCTGCAATTGTAGACCTATTCTAGAATTACCATATTGGTAGGGAAAAACTGGGACATGTACGCTTATTGTGGGGGAGAGGTTAAGGTTGTAGGATTTCTATGGGAAACTGCACTAAATGAAAGCATAAGTTAATATGCCAACAATCTAGTGTAATATTGCACATTGTCATAGTGATTTCTTCTGTAAAATAACAATATCTTTTTATTAATTTACCATCGTTCATATTTAACTCTAAAAGGTATAAAGGAACGTCAAAGTTATTTTAGAGGGTTTTATCCGTGATAATTTGTTGTTTTAAATCCCTTTACACCATTAAGGTTAGTGGACAATTATTTTCATTTTTGTTTTGTTTTAACTTCTTTGTTTTTAAGGAAACCGTCCAAATTCTGGCTGCTATGTAAGTTGACCTTATGTTAAGGTCCATTTCCTATCCTGCGACTGCTACGACTCTAGTCGCGCGTCTCCTGCCGCGCAGCTGAAGAAATTGACTGCTTTAATGCAAAGTAAATGCAACCGTTTCCTATCGAGCGTCTACAGCCGCGCGACTGAAGCGACTGGAGCCGCGCGGCTGGGGCCGTCGCGACTGGACTGCTCCGTGAGCTCTGTGACTGCTTGTTCCTAAAATGTTAATTGCTATGGGTTTTAAAATAAACACGATGAAACATGCATCAATAATTTAAATGTATATGTTTCATCCTCTTTCTGGTTATAAGATAAGTTCAGCACAAATATCAAAATAACTAAATGTAACTAAATAGCAGTACTGTTGAATTTTGGCCACAGATGTGATTTTCAAGTACTTTTGAAGTTATCTAATAGGTATATTTGATCCGCTTGGCTAGATTCAAATAATAAAGAATATTGCAACTCTATTGATTGCAATTTATCATAAAAGCTCGCCAAGCAATCAGCGCGGCAATCAGTTAGCTGAATCAATGGTGGCTTGGAGACGGCGGAATTGATTCCCAGCTTGATTCTTGATCGTTTCTCCTTTGTTGTTTTTGCTAGCAACTTTTGAATTTGTTCATCATTAATCTCCAAAGGTACTGCAGAGTCTATTGCTGCCTGATAATGTTTAACTGGGGATAATCATGTTGCAATGTGTTTGTGTAAGTTTTAATAAGCAATAACTATTTATTTAAAGGAATGAACCAATGATAAAAGTTTCATATATTTGTCAAACTATGAAATCAGCTCATTACTTTAGACTAGTTTAGAAAACTTTAATGTTCACATTTAAAATTAAAGTTGGTAACTTAAGTTATTAATTATAATTATTCACGTCCATATGAGATGAGCCCTATTGTATAGACCGTTTATATCGTTGGTATTTGCAGATTAGGGAACACTCCATTGCGGAGTATATACAATCCATTACCAATTTCTTTACGTGCCTAAATTGTCTACACGTTTATTAGTAAATATGTAATTCCAATCCATTTTAAGTGTATATCTTTTTCTGTGTCATTGTGAACCTTATGTTTAAGCAGATGTTTTAATTTTAGTGAATTTCCTTAAGTAATTGGTTGCGGAGAAAATTCAATAAACTGTAAATTTAATTTCCCATGTTATTCTTATGGAGAATAAGTAGCTGTTGTAGTTTGCTTGTTTATGGATATAATTTTATCAAACATGGCAGATTTATTTATTCTATACTAAGCTATAAACATTTCACGAAAGACACACTTTTATCAGGAAACCTGTAGCAGCAAACCTAGATACTTGTTAAATCTAATGTTATTTAAATAGATGTAATTGAACATCAACCAATAACGTAAATATAAATTCGCTTTGCAGGTTTGCTGCGGTGGGTGTATTTATTAATAAACTCGTTTCTTTTTATTGATTTTGCTTGCCAAAAATAGCGTGTTAACACCCGATCTAATCAACATCTGTAGATGCAGGGTTCCTTTCAAAGACTTGCTGCATAGAAAGTGGGATTTTATTCAATGTGTGTAAACTGCCTGGATCATGCATGTTTGGATGTTGCATTGCCAAGTATCTTATGTATGTTTCGATGTTGCATTGTCAATGTCTTATGTTTGGATGTTGCAGGATAACTTTCATGCACCTCCCGCTGCAGAGCAAGTGGCTGTATGTCGGGTCAGAGCGTGGCAACATCCATGTGGTCAACATCGAGAGCTTTGTCCTCTCCGGCTACGTCATCAACTGGAACAAGGCCATCGAAGTGTAAGTGATGAGTTCAAATATTTAGTTTTCGTGCATGGGTGTGTGTGTGTGGCAGGAACACCGATGGGCACAGGAAAAAATTGATTCCATATATTGTATCTATAAATTATAAAGAGCATTTCCAAGGCAAAATCTCTCATACTGCTGAATGGATTGCGATGGATGGGTTGTGGATGATGAGTCGATGGCTCAGTCAGTATTGCCCACGAATTCTAACCGAAGGCAGCGGTGTTGTGGGTTCGAATCCCGGTACCAGTCACTACTTATATCAGTGCAGTTCGCCCTTTTACTGTAACGGCTTACCCTTGCTTTGCTGGATACATTCCATGAAATGGCTCGATACATATGTGGACGGGCGAATGTAAAGTTTAAAAAGCCACCAACCCCTAAAATGCTACTTTCTTACTGATAGTAGATTCATATTCAGCAACTAACGCAAAACTCCACTCCATCTTCAAAGATTGTTTATTTTACTAATAGACAAAATACTAATCTGTTAACGATTGGGTCAATATTAGGGCACACAATCTAAATTAACTGTTCTCGGCGATATATTGTTTCCTTATTTAAAATAATTATTTTATAAGATTCTATTATAAATGTAATACAACGGTGGCCCTGCACATAGGCTTTACGATGATTACAACGGCAGTAACTAGTTTCTCCTATATTGAGAAATTGCTAAAAAGATAAGTATTGCATTGCTTTCAGACTACTGAAATGATACCACTAACAATGTTTCAAAAATTGAATACAGTATTTCTAATACGTTTACTTGTAAATTGCACTTGAACGATTCAGTAAAATCGCCGCAAGCTTATTAATTATCGGAACACGTTAAGCCATAGATGCACACAGGCTCTTACGTGTTCACCTAATGAATAGCTAAGTCGCAAATTTTGAGTCTTCAGCGGATTTTAGTGTCTTAAGTAGTATTAAGTAGCATTAGGTAAATTACTTCTTACTAATGCAAGCGGGAAAGACACGTGTTGAAGTTACTAAGTGGTTTATAGCTTTCCTTACTTCACATTATGTGAAACTTAAACGGATCTTTCTAATAGTTGTATTATCAAGTTTGCAAGAAAATCTTTTCATAGAAATATTAATACTGCTTCAAACTTGTTCCTAATCAGTTTCGTACTGTTCAGTACTGCGTTTCGTTTTCTAATCAGTTTAATATAATGTAGTTTAATTTTCTTTAACCTATGAAATAAACAACCAAAAACGGATTTACAAAATTATGATAAGATTCGTACATTGTTTACTTTTAACTGTTTCAATTTCTTCAAGGTTAAATACATTTCCGTATGAAGAATAATTCAACACAAGTATCCTAATGTAACAATAGATACCACATTCAATATGATTACAAAATGATGGGCTCGATCACTGGAGCAGTCTTGAATAAACGATATTTTTAATTTTTAAGTCTTCGTTAGACTTGTGTGGAATCGGTTATTTGCTTGTTATTATTATATTCCAGGCAAGGGACGGAACGATTTTGACAATATATAGACAAATCCTAGAGTTGCTGATGCAATCACTTTAAAAGTCATCCAACCATGTCCCAAGTGAGGTTACAATTCCAAATCCAACTGGTTCGTCTGTATCAGCTCAGTAAAGCCACAGACATTAAAACACCCGCGGAAGATTGTGGTCATGAATGTAAAGACTTGGCTGTAAAGTTTACGACTCCCCTCCCCACCACTACTCTGGCCACATCCCCTATGTATGGCTTTAAAATAATCGCATCTAGATTGTGGGTTCTTATATGAGGTTACTTTATATAGTACACATCCTAATTGTGAACGTAAGTTAAACGTTACTGCAAATTCATTATCATTAGGAGTCAGCATTATGTTTTAGATTGGGTAGGCACAGACGAAAGAGTATTTTATTGTTTACTACATTTCCCTGTTTTTTTTTTTTTTTTTTTTTTTTCAATCCATTTAAAAAACACAAAAAACCAGAAATTGTCTAGTAAATACTTTTAATACTTTAATACTTTCTTATGAAATGGCGACCATACAATGTAGGTATTTTAAGCCAAGTATGAATGGAGATGAGTGTGGGATGAGTGGCGCGATCTTGTAGTCTTGTTAGTGACTAAGGCCGACATTCCTTAGACACAGCTGTTAAGAGGGCGTTGGAGTGTGAAACGATTATTTGTTAATAATGTCATACATAAAGAGTAAAGAAAATTGTATTTTTTAAATAACGTAAAATATTAAAATTATTTAACCATCGTTATTGGGCTCAAAATCGTCAAATCGAAAGATAGATAAAAATAGGCTTCAGATTTTACAATAATTATTATTCTACTATTGTCTATTCAAATTAAATGACATTCTTTAGAGGATTGATGGTGTTAGGGTGTAATGAATTAGTTTTGAAATTTTATGCTTTTGCTTTTACAAATAATAAATGTTTCAGGCGTATTGATTTCTATAACTTATCTAAATACTTGAGTGATTAGTATGCTTATATGTTTACGAAAATTTATACTATTGATACATACTAAGAGACGATTTTAAAACGATCGGGTCAATTTTGTTTAACTAAGGTAATACTTAACCAAAAGTACTTGTTTCAAGGATACTGTATGTCCATATTAAAATTTCAATATAAAGTAACAACTTTAATGATGTTTTATTTTCAATCTCATGATATTGTGGCTACATTGAAGGCAATGCAAGTACTGATTCCCCGATGAGGATTATGTTACTGAATCTCCTAACACAGATATCGGCCTTTATTGCTGCATATATCTGACTTATATTTTCATTTCGTATTCATTTATGCATTCGGTTATCCTAATCTTTAATATACAGTCACTGAAACTCAAGTAAATAAGCAGTACAGTTAAATAGGATTATTGCTATCGCTTTGATGTAAATTTTTATTCCAATGTTTTGTAGTAATCTAAAACATTTTTGAAATTTATTGATTACCAGTGTATAATTATTGTAAGAATATATTACTTACGTCAATTCAGCTCAAATTCCTAAATGGTGAATTCAGAACATGATTCGACACATTTGTGTCATCATCAGCTGGGTACTAGTTAAGTATATTCACCAAATTGGCCTCGTCATGGTTCTTGAGTACACAAAACACGAACACGACACGTAGACATTTAAACGAAAATAATACTGTTGATACGAAAAACATGTATGGACGATGCAGTCCTGCTGGGCCTGTAGTGCTATTTCACCATTCAGAATTTTTAGCTGAATTAGTGTAAGTAATAAATTCTTACAACAAAACATTTTTGATTTTTTATATTTCTTGGAATCTTAACGCTATGAACAAAAGCCACCAACTTTGTTGCAATTCACGCAGAGACAAATATATTGGCCATATATGGAGGGTATTTTCGTGCCAGGAGGCCACAAAACCAGTAAATTTGCTTAAGCGGTTCCATATGTTTGTATTTCCTAGACCCTAGTCTAACAAGAACGATTTACCAACTGAAATTGCAAGTTTCAAATTCAAAACTCATCTAGCTCTTAGGAATAGACCTACATAGTGTTCTGTGAATAAATTCGTGAAATTTACATTATAGTAGGCCATACTAACATATTATATACAATTTCTTGACTATAAATTAGAAATGCTCAGTAAATAAAATATCCAAAGTCTATTTAAGATCCAAGCAATTGCGTGTCAGAAACACTTTACGTGGATAAAACATTGAACCCTGTCATCCGTTCACACTCATATATTTATTACTTGGAGTATGATGCAACAATTAGTGTGTGACACGGCAGTAATGACGCTACAAGGCGGGGAAGGCATTAGTGTAATGCCTTGTGTAATGTCGTCATTACTCAACATCTCTGGTACGAGACTCTTAATCAACGGCAACATCACTCTGGCTCGGCCACTTCCTGTTTCTTTATAAAGTTTTTTTTACAGAAGTAAACAAAATGTAAATAAACGGTATCAGCATTCTGACACATACTTTCTCCCATAAGTTTGTTAAAAACCTTTATCATATGTAAGTGGTGAGATTAAATATACGCAAATGGGATTTGTACAATTTTGTTCACAATTTAAAGGACTATAACATGCTAAATTTTTATCAAAATCGTTCGGGCCATTTTTGGGAAAATCCGATTTTTCTGCTATTTTATGGGTGTTTTATGGGGAAATGACATAATTTACAATAACTTTTGAACCGTAATTTTTACAGAAATGGGATTTGTACCATTTTGTTCAGAATATAAAGGACTATAACATACTCATTTTTTATCAAAATCGTTCTGGCCATTTTTGGGAAAATCATATTTTTCCGTTATTTTATGGGGTTTTATAGAAAAATCCCCATTAAAAATAAAAATTTCTAAAAAATTAAAAAAAACTATAAAAACTGTAAAGACTATAACATACTATGTTAAATCAAAACCGGATTTTTTTAAAAAATCCTATTTTTTGTTATTTTATGGGGTTTTTATGGGAAAATAACATATTTTACCATAACTTTTGAACCGTAATTTTTACAGATATGGGATTTGTACCATTTTATTCCGAATTTAAAGGGCTACAACATACTAAATTTTTATCAAAATCGTTCGGGCCATTTTCGAGAAAATCTGATTTTTCCTGTTTTTTATGGGTTTTTATGGGAAAATCCCAATGTAAAAAATGGAGTGAAAGATAATATTTTATTTTGTAACAATGTATATCTTCATTTTGTTTGACAGTATTTCATTTAATGCATGCAAACAGTATTTTGTTGGATTATAAAGTCATCAACATTATATTGAAAAGTGTAAACTACCAATTGTTGTTGAATTTGTAAAAAGAAAATTATATTAGATAATTTAAAGAGTATTAATGATACATGATTTTTTCCATTGAGCGAATTTAAAGAACTTCCCCACGTCAAAAACATAGAATAGGTTGACATTAATTGGTCTTATTAGCGTCTTAGAGAGCAAAGTATTATTTAAACTACCCCAACTACGAAAACGCAACGTTCTTTCATGATTTTTCAA